ACACTCGTTACAACTTGGGATGTCCCGATCCGATCACATGATTGGAAATCGGCTCCGATCACGTGGTTTCAGTCTGATCAGGATTCGGGCTTTACTTCCCGATCCAAGCCCCAATCTGTAGTCAGATACTGGGTTCAAATTACAGGAGAGCAACTTGGTTCTCCTTAAAGGTTGTCAGGCTCCCCTGATGCCCTTAACTTACACACCCAGAAGGAGCACAAAGAGATCCAGTCTCTACCTTTATTATATTATTTATATGGACTCAGCGTAGCGGGGTTCTTTTGAGCAGAGCTGCAGAGCAGCAGGCAGACCGCTGATTAATCATGAACTCCAGCTGTGTTCTGCACACGGACACAGTAACATGTTCTAAGTTTCTAAGTAGCGACACCAAAAAATATGCAATTAACACACAGTCATTCGTGTCCGTTCATTTTCTCTCTGGTAAGTTCTGTCTGTGTTTGAGCATGACGTGTGGACGCGCTCGCGCTGCAGCGCTCGTCACTGGCGCGGCACACACTCCGCTTTTTTTGCGGTCAATAGATCAATTTGATCTGCTAGTTAAAAAGAGACTTGTGAGGTGAAAAAGAAGGAAGCAGGCAGGAGTTTTTCTGGAGGACTGGGAGATGCAGGAAGATCAGAGACAGACAGGACAGGAATGGTAAATGGCCTGTATTTGATATAGCGCCTTCTAGAGTCCTGGAACCCCCCAAGGCGCTTTACAACACAGTCAGTCATTCACCCATTCACACACACATTCACACACTGGTGGGAATGAGCTACAATGTAGCCACAGCTGCCCTGGGGCGCACTGACAGAGGCGAGGCTGCCGAGCACTGGCGCCACCGGTCCCTCCGACCACCACCAGCAGGCAACGTGGGTTAAGTGTCTTGCCCAAGGACACAACGACAGCAACAGACTGAGCGGGGCTCGAACCTGCAACCTTCCGATTACGGGGCGAGCGCTTAACTCCTGTGCCATCGTCGCCCCCTAGGAAGATAGGAAAATAAAAACCAAGAAAACAAAACAAAGTTCTTAAAAAATACAATGTAGATCGATCCCATTACACGTGTGTACCTGTATGAAGCAATACTTTATCAGCATGTGGTTTTTATATAGTCGATACAGTTCAGATCATCTTCAGAGCTCCGTCCCATGCCCAGGGACGTATCTAAGCATTTTGGGGGCCGAGGCAAAATAGACCCCTGCCAGGTATTTTAAGTTGAAGTGCGATCTGTTTTTATATTAGACTTTTTATATTTGCAATAAAGTCCAGAAGTGAAGAATTTATGTTATTTATTACTTGACTGTTCAAGCCACCTCACAGAAGTGATCTGTTGTTAAACATTAAAATAAAAATGTAATTAAATAAAAGATAAGGAACATTCTGGAACTGTTTCTTCCTTTTCTTTATTTTATTTTATTTTTTTTATGTATCGAAAGTATCCGATCGGGACTCGGTATTGGCAGACTCTCAAAATCAAATGACTTGAACTCGGACTCGAGGGCAAAAAACCTGATCGGGACATCCCTAGTTACAACCAAGGAATGCAGCAAAGCATTTGTGAAGTAACAACACACACAACTTTGAGGTGGATGGGCTACAACAGCAGAAGACCCCCCCGGGTACCACTCGTCTACACTACAAACAGGAAAAAGAGGCTACAATTTGCACAAGCTCACCAAAACTGGACAGTTGAAGACTGGAAAAGTGTTGCCTGGTCTGATGAGTCTGGATTTCTGTTGAGACTATGTATTTGGGTGCTTTTAAAGCTTAATACACTACTCTACACTTTAATGTGCTGTGGATTTCGAATTTCCATATAAATATGGAAATCCAGTCTGATTGGTCTTTAATGTTTAACCAGAAGATTTAGACTTCTTTGTTTATTCGGGGACTGTAGAACACTTTGTCTTGCTTCAAGAAGAGAGTCAGGTTTATGAAAAGTAAGAATTTATTTTCCAAACAATTAAAACATGACAAGTTAACTTATGGGTCATTCCCATCTGTACCGGGTCGGCCCGGGTCGGGTAGCGTAGGTTGTTTACATATCCGGGTGGCCTGGTATTTTTCCGGGCCAACCAAGGCTCATTCTCAGCCCTCTTCCCGAGGGGGTCTGCTTCAGGCCGACCAGGGCCAACACGCCCACTGCTGACAGCAAATTCACACCTTCCATTAGAGCAAGCCTCTGATTGGTGGGTAGAATCAGCCCACATGGGCTTAAGGCAAGGATGTGTGGAATCAACCGGGCCAGGCTGGGGCCGACTGGGGCTACCCGGCCTGGGCCGACCCGGTACAGATGGGAATGGCCCATAATGTTACTGTGATGGATGGATCTAGGTAGATGGAATGTGATGTATGGTGACTATGTGTGAATGTGAGGTTGTCAGAACTTTTGTATCGAGAAGAACTGAGTTCTGGGTGTCAGAAGAATTGGTTTGCATTAAACTATGAAGTTGGTTCTTATCAAAAAGGCAATCTGTCATGTCTATGTACCCCAAGTGGAGACTCTTTTGGATCCAAGATGTCAAGGGGTCGGGTGATCCCAAGGTACCAAGGTCCGTAGGAAAAACCGCAGTACGACCAGGTCAGCCCAGAGTCGTCTCCAGGTCACGATAGGTTGGAACTAGTTTGCGTCTCGAATGGATTCTTAAGGAATTTTGCTGTGTCAGCTTTGTTCTGCAGGAACCGTTTGCTGTGTCAGCGGTAGGCAGCTTTTCGCAGGTTTTTGGCAGCTTGCCAAAATAGCTCCGGGTTAAAGAGGCTTCACTCCGGACGTCCGTTCCGTAGCTTTCTCTAGAACTGAGTCTCCGTCTCGTGAGCTCTGTTTTAATATTCTCATGTTATGAATTCTTGTCCAATCGGAACGTGCCATGTTCAGGGATACTACCAAGAACCTCAGAACATCACGCCTTCTTTCAGATACCGGAGGCCCTGATTAGGGGTAAAGAAATATCTATGTGTCATGAGCTTAACTTAGCCTTAATGGACCTTGTGTCTGAGTGTAGGTGATGATTGCTTTGTCATATCAAACATTACTGATTACATATATATAAATCATTCAATGTAATAAATCGTTTCATTTCAAACTTTCAGTAATTCAAGCACAGATTAATCAGAGCATTATTGATCATTTCATATAACATTTGTTCTTTCCATTTCATGATTGATTAACTCATGTAAGCTGAAAACAGCCACTCTTATAAAAGTCCAGTCCGGCCTAGATAAGCAGACAGGCTTGGCACAGAAGGGCCTTGAGAAGGGAACGGTTTGTTGATAATGTGCTATCGTGTGTTCCGAGCTGCAGAGAGCCCGGGCTCCAGCTGATGGAATGGCAGGATCCGGCAGATTAAAGGCCACACATGCAGACTCCTGTCTCCATGTAAACCAGATACTGAAGGGGTCGAACTGTACATGAAAACTGACCATTTCTGGACATTACAAGACATTCAAATGGTAGAGTCAGAATTTCCGTAAACAGGATGAGAACATGGATCCATCATGCCTTGTTACCACTGTGCAGGCTGCTGGTGGTGTCATGGTGTGGGGGATGTCTTCTTGGCACACTTAAGGTCCCTTAGTGCCAGTTGGGCATGGTTTAAATGCCACGGGCTACCTGAGCATTGTTTCTGACCATGTCCATTCCTTCATGACCACCATGTACCCATCCTCTCTGATGGCTACTTCCAGCAGGATAATGCACCGTGTCATAAAGCTCCAATCATTTCAAACTGGTTTCTCGAACATGACGATGAGTTCTCTGTACTACAACAACCCCACCGTCACCAGATCTCAACCCGATAGAGCATCTTTGGGATGTGGTGGAACGGGAGCTTCATGCCCTGGATGTGCATCCCACACATCTCCATCAACTACAAGATGCTGTCCAATCAGCATGGGCCAACGTTTCTAAAGATGCTTCCAGCACCTTGTTGGATCAAAGCCACGTAGAATTAAGGCAGTTCTGAAGGTGAAAGGGGGTCAAACACCACATTAGTATGGTGTTCCTAATAATCCTTTAGGTGTGTGTGTGTGTTTATATATATATATATATAATACACACACACACATGGATATACCTACACACATCCCTGTCATTTGTTTATATAACTGATCTATGCGTATACAATTCCAGTATTTAATTTTTAATCAATTTTTAAAGGTAAATATTGTTTATGTATTCTTGATTAGATTATTCCATATTTTAACTCCATACAGAGGCACAACGCTCCTTTACTATTATCCTATGCTTAGGTATCATGAATAATTCATGTCCTTTTAATTCATATTCACTCTTTTTATAGTCTTTTAAGTAAATTTTCAGGAAGGTATTTTTTGTTTGCATTATACATACATTTTAAAATATTGTAGTCCACTAGGTCATAGAATTTTATTCTTTTTAATTTTATAAATAACTGGTTGGATGGATATCTGCAGTTGCTCCTTTTAAGGATTCTCATTGCTTTTATTGCCAGATGTAAATATAAGTTTTACATGTTGTTCCCCAAGTTTCTCTGCAGTGGTTCAGATTTGGTATAATAAGTGAATTATAAGATATAAGGAGTTACCGTCCAGTGACCATCTTACTCTATGTAACGTTGCCATTGTTTTAGCTATTTTAGTTCAACATTGTTTAAATGTGGCTTCAAGATACATTTTCATCAATGATGACTCCCAAAAATGTGACTTCTTTTGCTCTTTTAATGTTAATATCATCTGTATTTAATAAACTTGTATCATTTGAATTTCTATTACTAAATATCATGAAACATGATGTGTTTAAGGGTTCTGTCACGTTATTTTAATGTTCGGGCTATTCTAGCCAATGGAAAGCACACTGTGTATGAAATGTGTTGTACAAATAAAGCTGCCTTCCCTAGTTAGAGGAGTGGGTTGGATCAGGCTAAAGAAACAGGAAGTTCACTCATTAGTGAGTGAAACTAGTTTTCTGTGGTTCATGTGGGGCTCTGGCATTACTGATCCGTGTCTTATTTCCCCTCAGGCTGTGGTGCACCTCCAGCTGCACAACGGTGTCTCAGTTCACTTCTTTTCAACATGGAGAGAGTTCTCAGACTACATCACCATGACAACCAAAGCTCTGGCAGAGGCCCCTTTCAAGTGAGCCTCAGTCTTCATCCCAGCTTAACCAAACGTTGATCAAAAGGTGAATCCTACTATCCTGTTTCAGGAGAGAGCGGGAGCAGACAAGCTTCTCCTTCTGCCTCGAGAGTGAGTGGGCAGGAGGCCAGCGAGTGAACAAAGCTGGAGAAGGTCTCCTGCTGGTGTGGAAGAGGCAGATTCAGCAGCTCCACAGAGTCAGCTCAGAGGTAGCTGCTGCCGTTGTAGCAGCATATCCATCCCCACTGCTGCTCCAGAAGGTACACACACACACTCGCACACACTTACACACACACACACGCGTACACACACACACACACACACACACACACACACACACACACACACACGCACACACACACACACTTACACACACTCGCACACACTTACACACTCACACACGCGTACACACACACACACGCACACACACACACACACACACACGTACGTACACACGGACACACTTACACACACTCGCACACACTTACACACACACACGCGTACACGCACACACACACACACACACGTACGTACACACGGACACACTTACACACACACACACACTTACACACACACACACGCGTACACACACACACACGCACACACACACACACACACGTACGTACACACGGACACACTTACACACACTCGCACACACTTACACACACACGCGTACACACGCACACACACTTACACACACAAACACACACTTACACAGAGTAATCCAGTCTTGATGTAATAAATGCATGAACTAGTTTTTCAGCATCACTCCTGGAAAGGATGCTTCTAATCTTAGCAATATTCTGAAGGTGGAAAAAGGAAATCCTACAAACCTGTTTAACCTGGGAATTGAATGACATGTCCTGGTCAAAGATAACACCAAGGTTCCTTGCTTTGTTCTCGGAGATTAATGTAATGCCATTCAGGTCAGGTGATTGGCTAAGCAAATTCCTTTTCTGGATTTCTGGTCCAAAGATGAGAACTTCCGTCTTGTCTTGATTTAAAAGCAAAAAGTTTAGAGTCATCCAATTTTGTACGTCCTCAAGACAAGCCTGTAATCTACCCAACCGGTTAGGTTCATCAGGGTTAATGGATAAATATAACTGAGTATCGTCAGCATAACAGTGGAAGTTTATCCCATGCTGTCTAATGATTTTACCAATTGGGAGCATATATATAGTAAAAAGAATTGGTCCAAGCACTGAACCCTGTGGTACTTCGCAAGTAACCCTGGAGTATGAAGATTTGTCATGTACGTTTACAAAATAAAATCTGTCAGACAGGTAGGATTTAAACCAGCCTAACGCTGTTCCTTTGATCCCTACAACATGTTCAAGTCTTTCTAAAAGAACATTGTGATCAACTGTGTCAAAGGCAGCACTGAGATCTAACAAGACTAGAACAGACACAAGATTCTTATCTGAGGCCATGAGAATATCATTTGTAACTCTCACTAATGCAGTTTCAGTGCTGTGATACTCTCTAAAACCAGACTGAAATTCCTCAAACAGAGCATTAGTGTTTAAATGCTCATATACTTGGATGGCCACTATTTTCTCCAGGACTTTGGATAAAAATGGAAGGTTAGATATTGGTCTATAATTCATTGGGTCATCTGGATCCAGAGAAGGCTTCTTAAGTGAAGGTTTGATTACAGCAACCTTAAAATCTTGTGGTACAGGACAGGTAGGCCTCCTCATGGTGCGTAGAGCGCCATGTTCTCTCCAATTTTCTTGAGTTTTGTTTTAAAGCTCGTAGATGAGAATTAAACCAGGGAGCCAACTTCCTGTCCCTAATTACCTTCTTTTTTAAAGGGGCAACATCATCTAATGCCACACGTAAAGAGGAATTAACATGATGAACTAAGGCATTAATTTGTGAGGGGCTAAAACTGAAAATATTGCCCTCTGCTACGTTCCTCTGAGATGCTGAGGACAGTAAAGATGGAACAGTTGATTTAAAAGACGCAACTGCGTTGTCAGATAGAGACTGACTATAATGAAATTTACTTTCATGTCTCGAGAACTCAGTTATAAAAAACTCAAAGGTTATCAGAAAGTGGTCCGAGAGGACTGGATTATGTGGAAAGATTGTTATTTCCTCACACTCTATGCCATAAGTCAGAACAAGGTCCAATGTATGATGGCAGGAGTGGGCGGAGCTATGTATTCTTTGAGTGAAACCAATTGAGTCTAAGATATTACTAAAGGCTACATTGAGGCTATCATTTTCGATGTCCACATGAATATTAACATCCCCCACTACAATGACCTTATCAGTATTTAGCACCAAATCAGATAAAAAATCAGAGATCTGACCCAAAAACTCAGAGTAAGGGCCTGGTGGACGATATAAAACTACAAACAACAGTGGTTTTACAGTTTTGCAATCTGGATTAGGAAAACTAAGAATAAGATGTTCGAACGAACTGTAGCTATTAATTGGTAAGGGGTTGATTAATAAGTCCGAATGAAAAATGGTTGCCACTCCTCCTCCTCGCCCTGTACTTCGAGCAATGTGATGATTTAAATAATTTGAAGGAGTCGACTCGTTTAAGCTAACATAGTCCTCTTGCTGCAGCCAGGATTCTGTGAGAGAGAGCAAAGAGATCTGATTATCACAAATCAAGTCATTAACTAACAAAGTCTTAGAAAAATGGATCTAATGTTCAACAACCCACATTTAATTTTTCTAGTTTTCTGCTCAGTTGAATTTGTTCTAATATTTATGAGATTTCCATGATTTGCTTTATTAAGCCTGATATTTAATCTGTGTGGTTTTGGCCGTGGGCAGGACACTGTCTCTATGGGGTAGTGGGTGGGTAACAGTACAGAAGCTGCAGAGGGGTGGGTTAAACTACGACTCTGCTTCCTGGTCTGGACCCTGGGTTGTCATGGAGGACTAATAAAACTGGCCATGTTCCTAGAAAGAAGAGGTGCTCCATCCAAAGAGGGATGGATGCCGTCTCTCCGCATCAGACCAGGTTTTCCCCAAAAAGTTTTCCAATTATCAATGTAGCCCACGTTGTTTTCAGGACACCACCTAGACAGCCAGCGGTTGAAGGACAGCATGCGGCTAAACATGTTGTCACTGGTCCGATCAGGCAGGGGGCCAGAGAAAATTACGGAGTCCGACATTGTTTTGGCAAACTTACACACCGAAGCAACATTAATTTTAGTGACCTCCGATTGGCGTAACCGGGTGTCGTTACCGCCAGCGTGAATAACAATCTTACTGTATTTACGCTTATCCTTAGCCAGCAGTTTCAGGTAAGATTTAATGTCGCCCGCTCTGGCCCCAGGTAAACATTTAACTATGGTTGCTGGAGCTTCTAATGCCACGTTTCTGACTATGGAGCTGCCAATGATCAGAGTCGGCTTGTCAGTGGGTGCGTCACTGAGCGGGGAAAATCTGTTAGAAACGTGGACGGGTTGGTGGTGGCCCACGGGCTGGGTTCTATGCTTCCTGTGTACCGTCACCCAGCCGGCCTGAGGTCCCGGCTGCTCGGGTTCTACTGGAGGTTCGCTACGGGGTGGTTCTGAGCTAGTTAGCCCTGCACTAGCTAAGTAGCTACGGCTGTTTACGGGTTTTTCAACAGCGCGGAGCCGGGCCTCCAATTCCGACACCCTCGCCTCCAAAGCTACAAAAATGCTACATTTATTACACGTACCATTATCACTAAAGGAGGCAGAGGAGTAACTAAACATCTGACGCAGAGAGCAAGAGATAGGAGACAGAGAAGCAGAGACAGAAGTAGCCATAGCCGTGCTGAGGCTAAGCTAACTGGACGAGCAAACTGTTCAACACCAAATAAACTGCGTGCGAACTCAAATGGTTCCCTAAAAGCTAAGTGGAACAACAGAAAATGTGTGCTTTAGCGTGCTTTTGTGTGTGGCAATACGGGAGTGGTCTATGGCCTGTTGACGCCAAGTATGGCAATTGTACCTGCTCGAGTGCAATTATTTCGAAAACCCATTAAACTCGGGCATGCTCCGGACGACCTATGGTCGTCTTTGCCATAATCGGAGTAGCCAATTGTTAACAACACCACCTTGGGAATTTCGCCCAAGGAATTAATTAAAGCATGTAAATTCATTCCACTAACTGAGACAGCAGACATTTTATTTAATTGAAGAAACAATTAAAAGACGTTTTAAGAACTGGCCATGTAAAATACCATAAAAATACTAAAATGTATGCCCCAAAAGAAACGGAACCAATGAAATGTATTGAGAAAAAGGAAATTAATTTAACTCACTTAAATTAATTCATGAAGTCCAAAATGAGGGTTAACTAAATACAGTTTAACTATAAATTTAAATAAACAAAAAGGTCGAACAATAACTTTCACAGTTAGTTTAGAGCATCAGTTAAACCAAACAAAAGGGCGTTAACAAGCAGGACTGAGGCTATCGATGGAGGCAGGTGACTCGGGGCAGAGAAGCCCCAACCAGCAAAAATAATAGAGAAAATATAAGGATTCACCCCAGGCAGTGAGCATTCATACCAACGTGAGAAAACCCAGCACCACCACACTCGCACACGGGACCACCACCTCCGAGGCCACACTCCACACCTCCTGCCTCAGCCTGCACAAAGAAAACAAGATTAAAAACTATATAAAATCTGTACAATAGGAATTAGCTGTTCTTCCTCCTGGACTCCAGCCACGAGCCAGGGGAACTTCCTTCAACCAGCTGATTTAAAACGCAGTAAAGGAAGTGAAACAAAACAGCGGCGCCTCCGGCCGGACCATGGAGCCATCTAAAAGGACAAGGAAGAGGTAGAAATGACCAAACTAACAAATGGCCAAGTGTGGGGACGGTGCAGCACACACCTACCGGTCCTCCTGCTTGTAACGCCTGAGCAGAAGGGAACTCTCTGCCCAGAAGCAACGAGGATTCAATAGGCAAGCGATGACATCACACCCAACACTGACACAAATGCCCAAGCTGCAAAGTGCACAACACACTCTGAGGCCTAGTCCACACGTAGCCGGGTTTTTTGAAAACGAATATCCGCCCCTCCAAAAACTTGCATCCACACCACCTCGTTTAAAAACAAACTCTGTCCACACGTACCCGGATAAATACGTTGTTAAGGACATGCCAGACCTGTAGGCGGCAGTACTTCCCCCGTTCTTAACCTCGTCCTTCGTCTGTGGTCTTCCGCCAGGAGCAGTAATTCCGCTTGCAAAAACAAACAAGCAAACAGCGCTTGGACGATTGATAAAGCGAGCACAGCTCTGAGGGCATCCATGCTGTCGGCTAGTGTAAACACAGGTCGCACACGTGATGTCAGCATTTTTGGTCGCGGAAAGTGACGTTGCGGACCTTAAAACTCCAGTTTTGTCCGTCCACACGCAGACACCCAAAACGGAGAAAACGCAGATCTTCACTTTGGCCGGAGTTTTTAAAAAGATCCGTTTTCGTGTGAAAAAACTCCGTTTTCGTGTGGATGACAGGCCAAAACGTAGAAAAATATGTACGCTTTGGCAGATCCCCGGCTACGTGTGGACAGGGTCTGAGACACAGTAGTCCTAGCGCTAAACAGAGTAGCCATCCAGGTACATACCACAGTTGAAGCAGAGCCGATGGCACCATAAACGCAGCCTGAGGACACGGGCTGGCAGCACCAAAACGCAGCGGCATAATGGGACCAGCTGTTTCCCGAACCTACTTCCTTACCGGAAGAGCTCCCCTTTTATAGCAGCAGCGCCCTCCTACCTACGGAGGGCGTTCTGCTCTAGACCAATAAAATTGGAGCAGGCATTTCATAATGCTACATGTGCTACAATAACTCAGAGATATCCTAGCACAGAGAAATTAAATCAGTTTTAGCGAGCCACAAACACCAAACAGCTACACGTAGTGCAACACTGAAAACAGGAAACGCCTTACCGCCAGTTAGCAGCAGCTGATCCAGGCATTTACTGTTCTTTTACAAACATGCAATCACACACACACACACACTTCCTCATCACCTTTTTACATTTCCAGTCATGTTATAAACATTCCAGATGGTTCTGCATGACTGAATCTTCCGCAGCACGTGTGTTTGTCTGCAGACTTACTCCGAGTGCAGGACCGAGAGTGAGAAGGTCTCCCTCCTCTCTGACCTCCTCGTTCGCCGAGGAGAAGGGATCACCTCCACAACCCAGCGTGCTGGTCCAGAACTTTCCAAACGTCTCTATCTCCTGATGCATTCCTGTGATCCTGAGGTCATTCTGGATTCCTGCCTCTGAGTTCCTCTTTTTCATTGAATATTTGATTTTAAACTCAGTCTTTAAATTCTAACTAGTTGGCTAGAAGTTTGTTTTTATTTCATTCAATCTTGGCTGTAATTCTGATGATATCGATGTCAAAGACATCCTGTACCTTTAGCCTGGATGGCTTGTTTCTGAACTGGTCTTTCATGTCTGATGTTTACAGTCTGTTAATGTAATAAACAAATAAATAAATAAAGCTTAGTTTGGTTGACTTTTGTTTTAACAGATCTTTTATTTCTACGTTACTTTCTATGGAAATCTTTAATGTTTCCAAGGTTTTTAGAAGTGCTTGAAAACAACAGCGTTATGATTCTGGGGCAGCTGTAGCTCAGGAGGGAGAGCGGGTTGTCCTGTCATCAGAGGGTTGTAGGATTGATGCCGGTTCCTGGCCTAGTTTATAACTCCATCAGCAGGTTTGCGCGCGCACACACACACACACACACACACACACACACACACAAACAAGGATGTTTTCCATCTACTTCTCTGGTGTGTCAGTGTTGTGAAGCAATTCTCTGCCAGGGCAGCAGAGGGCGCAGTGCTTTTGGGGGTATCCTGCTACCCAAATGTCCCTCGTACGTTATTCACACAAGAGCAGTTTTCAACATCAAACCAGGCCTTGATGGTAATGTCAAGAATGGGCTAATCAGAAGGTAATCAGGTTCCTGCGGGGTCTTAAAACATCTCAACAGCATCCAAGTCGGAAATACTTTAAAAAGTCTTAAATTCTGACAGCTGGGTCTTGAAATTATTGCTGTGTGTAAATTCCTGTACTGTATTTGTCCTCTAAAGCAGGGGCGGATTTAGGACTGAAGAAGATCCGGGGCTTAACACGCATGCGCACACACACACACACACGTGACACACACTAGTCAACATCATATATATATATATATATATATATATATATATATATATATATATATATATATATATATATGTCTTGTACCACATAATTTTTAATCTGAAGTTACGTATTCAGCATATTCAGGGCAGAGTATAGTTCCTGTTAGTGTTTAGTGTGAGATGATAGTAAATATTCCCTTTCTTTCTCCAACAACTTTACCTGATAGTAAGCTAACTTTAGGCAAACCAGCAGCACAACAAATATTTTCTAGTAAGACTCACAAACCTGAGTCAGCACCAGTCTCATCAAAGCTGGGGTTCTGTCGCCGTACTTTTGGTCTAAAAACGTCCTTATGTCCATCTTCACTCATGCGTTTCAGGCAGAGAGTGTAGAAGAAGCCGGCTGCTGAAGGGCTTCTTCTTCAGTGGTGGAGGCTCAGGCAGGCTGTATACAAACTACTGCCAGCTGCGCCCTCTCTGTTGGACTTTGGTACTGCATGTTACTTCCACGATGTAGATCCGGGGCTTCAGCCCAAGTAGCCGGGCCTAACGCCGCCCCTGCTCTAAAGTTTTATTTGTCAACCACAGTCATTATTAAAGTTGTACAGTAGTATAAACAAAGAGTGGCGGAACCAATACTTGAGAACAGCCTCGAGACTTAAGTACCCGAACATGTGATGTATTCGGCTCCCGCGCTACAGCAGTGATACAAGGTAAACAACAGACCTCCAGCAGAGGAGAAACGTGGAACATCTCAGCAGACCATGAGAAAGGGGCTGGTGACCAGAACTCTGGACCTCTTTGGGACTGAGTGAAAACATTCGGTAGGTACCGGCAAGGCCGGATTAACCATATGTGCAATTGCCCAGGGGCCCACGAACACTAAAGGGCCCAGGGCACGAGCAAAATACTGTATCTGTAATCTCCCGCTTTATATGAAAGTAGGATGACCGTACGTCCTCTTTTCCCCGGACATGTCCACTTTTCACTCTCTGTCCGGGGCGTCCGGGGGGTTCTTGTATTGATGAAAATGTCCGGTTTTTCATCCTGGAGAAGGGATCGAATTATGGGGAGCTGTATATCCTACACATCCAGGGGAGCCGGAAAAAAGGTTTCTACCTATATTACATCATTTATGAACTCTTTTGAGCAAAGAGTGGCAGAGCGATGATCGGTGCGCAGCGCTCCAGGCTGCTGCGTCCAGCGCACGGTCCATTCTCAAGGTGGCGCAACCAAAAAACTATGATTAACACACGATCGTTCATGTCCGCTCATGTTCTCTACTTTCTGTCTTATTTGTGCCTGAAGCGCTCTGCTACTGCGGAGCTCATCACCTGTGCTGCGGTGATTTCACCTCACTGACGCAGCATCGAAACGCGCTCTCCGCTTTGCGGTCAGGAGATCCCTTTGATCTGCTCAGAAGTAACTGATGAGGTGAAAAAGTAAGAATCCAGGCAGCAGATTTTCTGGAGAGTTTAGAGGAGACGCAGGAAGATGAGAGACAGACAGGACAGGAAATAGTTCAATAAAAACAAGAAAACAAAGTAAAATGTAGGTAGATTTATCTCCACTACACGTTTTTACCTGTATAAAACAATAAGTTATACACATGTCATATTTATACATCTGATACAATTCAGATCACGTTCAACACTCACTCACACACCCAGGGCTGTATCAAGACATTTTGGGGGCCAAGGCAAAATGAAACCCCCCCCCCCCCCCCCCATAACTGGGCTCCCCAGAAGCCTCTGTGTAATTCATGCCCTCTCCAGTAGTGTTAGTTATACGGTGTTTATAAAAGCCCCTCAGACATCACTGACATGTTCTAATATTATCAGATGAAAAACTAAATTATCAGACATGCTGTCTCATCTGCTGCTTTTCTAAACTTGTAAAAAGTAACAAAACCACCTGAAAGCCACTATTTGTGGATTCTCTGAAAGTTTCCATGGAGTGTGTGACAACTTATTTTTTCATTGATCCTATCGTCTAATCTCACAGCTGAAACAAGCATCCTTAATAATCTGTGCACAGGAAGCGTACCGATGCTGTAGTAAAACAAAAGGTATAATAATTTATTATTAATAAAACCTTGTTGCAGCACTAAAGCAGAAAAATTAGATTTAGCATTAAATATGCTAAATATTTACATATGAATTGTTTTAGAGACCTTTAATTGGCAGAATCTGATATTAATTTAGTTCTTACAAAAAATGGGTCCCAACATGGTTTGTGTGGCGTTGCCATAGTGTGATGTCATAGGCACAGATCCCCTGTCCTCTTGTTTGGAAATGGAAATATGATCACCCTACATTAAACAAACTGTCCACCCGGGCTTTTGCGCTGCACAGAGACGCTTCGCTGCCTACGACTGAACGTCAGTTGAGAGTCAGTCTCATGCAGACTGACCAATGAAGAGAGGGCCTCAAGTTAAGACCCTCTCCTCATTGGTCAGTCTACACGAGGTGGGTCAAAGGTTACCCTGAGGGGTTACGTGATGTCAGGCATTCAAGTATTGAGTAAATTTACTGCATATTACAGTAAAATATTCTGTATGTGACCACATTATGGTGATCCTTGGGTCGTGATGATGGGGCCCTTGAATATTGTTGCCCAGGGTACAACAAAGTGTTAATCAGGCCCTGGGTACAAAAATAAAGTATTAAGATGTCCCAATGAGCCACCGCGGGTCACAGGACTGATCCCGAGTCACGTTGTGAGCAGAGGAGACCTTTCAGCAACACTTCTCTTCAGTTTGTGGATGAAAATGTTAAAAAATACCTCAAACGTTTGGGTGCATTTTGCAAAAGAGCGGCAGCTAAAGATTAGTGCCATGAAAATCAGGAATAGCAGCAATTTAACAGATGGTCGTCGTGCAGGGCATCATCTTAAGAGAACGTCTTTGGCTGCAGAAAAGTAAACCTGAGTCCTGTTGTACAAATACAACAGATCTACAAGTTTGTGCTTTTTGAAACAGATTTGGCCTTCATATATGACATAAGAGTCTGACGGGACAAACGAAGCGAGGCTTGTATCGAGCAGGCGAGGGGCGTGTCCATATGCAGAAAACCACGTGACTGATCACGAACGAAGCCTCAGTTTGCCTGAGTCACATGACTGGTTCTTTTTCTGTGTCACTTTCAAAATAAAAGCTGCCATATCTTTGTGGGTTGCTTTAGTTTGGTCCATGTGTCTGTGTGGAGTTGACATGTGAAAAGATCTTATTGACAGAGTTTATCCACAATTTCAGGATCACACCTGTCAAGTCTCCCGTTTTGGGCTTGACACTGTTTTATAACCCATGAGCTATATTTAATGCTTACTCCCGCCGTCGTCCTGAATTATTATTCACTGAAAACATCCGGTTCATTCACGGGGATCCCTCATCACGGAGACCGGAGAGACGCTTCGCTCCAGCAGCACCTCCCACTCTCATGTTTTTAATTCCAGAACTAGACGGGATGTCTCCATCGACATACATATATGGACAATGGGTTTCCATAGACTCCAGTAACAAGTTTTTGAGGCTAAATGGGAGGTGGCCACCACCGCCATTTTGACCATGTCACAGGTTCCATCAAGCCCAGACAATTCCATAAAAGGGAAGAGAGGTGGAGCTGAGGGTGGGGCTGTAAGGCTGGGATCAACTGACGACACCCGGTCGAACTAGCTACAAGCTAACTTGAAGCTAACCCAAAGCTAATGCGGAGGTAGGAGCTGAGCTAACGGAGGTAGCAACCTAGCTACAACCGGAGTTAACTGTGCACAACACCAGAGCTTCTGAGTCAGAGATACGCCGGGCTGACCGCTGGGTAAAACCGGGTGGAACACAGAGGTCTCCGAGACCTCCACAAGCCGGAAGTGGGAACCCAGCTCCACCAACATGTTATATTTCAACCCATTTTCTAAAGTGCAGCATTATGTTAAATGCACTGGGGTTTTACCCTATTACATTTAAATGTCATGGTTAAACAGTACATGTTAAAACCTAAGCTCAGCTCGGCAGTGACCTAAAATACATAAATATAATTTTACTTACCGAAAAAATGAAGTGGAGACTCCTTGGACGCTCTATTAGTGCAATTAATGCCACAGCAAGTCCTTTTGTCCAACAATTGCACAAATAATATCCAAACAAGAATACACACACACAGAGACCCAAAATGCCGGAGCAGTTTCCAGGCCAGACCGAGGCTCTACTGAGGCCTTTCCCCGGAGCTAGCTTTGTGGTCACGTGGGTCTGATGCTCATTAATTATACAGAATTTTAGGCTTTTAATACACTTAAACAGAAGAGTGAGAAAAACATTCACCCCCCTCAGAGTTGTCATGAGTGTAAACTAGATCA